AAAGGTCCATGTACCTCACTTTTCACCGCTTGACTTCCTTTTTCTCCGGTTATGACTGATTGCCTCTCCTCTCTTGCTTCTCGATCGTTAGTATAGAAAAATTCAAAGATTCGCTCGGTTCACGATTCCTTTCGATTAAGTAAATCGAATCCGTGATTCCATTAATTTCATTGGAAATTAAAATCGTACCAACGACAATCGATATTTACCTCAATCCTAGCGCTTCCATTTCTGGGATTAAAAGAACGCCCGTATTGCCTGTCGATCGTAAACAAATCGCAATGAATTACGTACAACAAAATTGTGATGAACCAACTATTTATGCAATTTTGGAGATGAATGTAAGAAACGTTTTATGTAATGAAACTTTACATTGCCTTAAAGACAGCCTTTGCTCTAAGAAAAGACCACTTGAATGTATCGCCCTCAGGTGCAATCATAATCTCTCATATATCTTTTTTACCTATCAGAGTTTCTAGACTGATATCTTGATATAAGGTAAAGTACTTACATTACATATTAATAGATTCATTAATAAGATTTTAGATTCATTGCAAATTCTAAGGTTTCGTGAGTAATGAGAGAAATTTCTCGCCGTAAGACTCGATCGAGTTTGTAAAAATTCTGAAATGCCAGTTAAGTAAGTTCTAAAAAGTGGAAAAATCCTTACTTTTGTTCATCTGATACGCAAGCCGATCATGATGAAGGATGCTCGCTAAGTAAGAGGTTTTGCAATGCTTATTTTCAATATCTTTTCTCTATCTGTTCTCGCCTTTCATAAAACAATAAAAGCTCTATGCCCAGCGTTCTTTCGCAGGGATGAGTTTTTCATTTAGTTGAGTTTCGAAGGAAGAAAGGGATCTCGTTTCAGAGCTCTTTCCGCCTTTGGCTTTTCCGGCCTCGTAGTCGTAAGGTATCTGGCCGTGGATATGCATAATGCGCAAAAAGTTTCCCGAGAACTCTCCACTCGCACATCAGCAAATGCCATAAGTAATTATGCCTCAATTAGGATTATCTTTTGAACTCGGTATCATATATTTTGAAATAAACATGTTTATGCGATTCACGATAACTATATTTTAATTTTTTAAAGTCAAAGAAGTAATAATAACAATAAGTAGCTAAGCAATAATGATAATTAACTTTTTATTATGATTTACATCTACTATTGATCACATCTACATTCACACATACATTATGACTATCAAAATATTAAAAAATGTATTATATTCTATTTAAAAAATAAAAGTAAATCTGATATAAAAAATCTTCTTCAAAAATATAAATTATTGTAGTTTGTTTTATTAAATAGAATAAGCTTTGATTTATGTGAAATCGATTATTCCAATACAGTTAATACACAAAATTGAATACCTACATACACTAACTTTAGTATTAATTTATCTAGATACAAACAGAGTAATTACCAATATATCACTTTAAAAACGGATTCTAATAGCTATTCTCCAAATAACGATTTATTTATACCATTTCGTATGTTAATTTGAAAAATACTATCTCGTAATATCCTAGGTATCATGATGATAAGTAAACATATTAAACATATACTCAGCTCTGTTCGCTCAATTACTATCATTCTTATTAGCTGATTAAACGCAACATGTTTAATCTGTTGCTTGCTCCATATGCGATTGATTATACAATATTCAATGCGTGCTTAGAACATATATATTGGAAGCGCAATAGTTGATTGGCATTGTCTCCAATATATATCTGTTCTTGTCCGTTTTGCATGCGCATGCGTCGATTATAGTCTAAGTCTTTGATTATAGCCTATAATTCTAACGGCATTGAAATTAATATTGTAAAGGTATACAAAATTAGTCAAACGCGATTCTCATACAAAGACAGATTTCAAACACAGATAAAAATGGATAGATGTTGAAGACTGCTGTGTTATTCAGAACGACTATGATTCTATGGACTATTCTAGTAAATGTATATGTTCTAAGGGTGCGTGCAGTTCTCGCGACGCTTTACTTGTACTTATCTAAACCCCGCAAGAATTTATAAATTCATGAGGAAGAACGCGAACCGACCACAAAGGGCGATTTCGAATCTGTTTAAGCGTGCATTCGCGAGCTCTATTATTCTCGCGATAATTTAAGACAAGTCTGATATATACGTAAGCGAGTTTATGCAATGCCATTGTCTCGGGGTTGCCGTTATTTATGGGAAGATTTCACCTTCCAAAAACGGAAGATGCGCAACGCGATGAGCCACGATGCGAATAACAATCGCGCGTTCCTTGTGAGGAGCGGTAATTAAGGATTAGCAAGGTGATTAGTGAACGCTTGGTATTTAAATCTCGTTGCTGCGATCTGCGAGGCGCCGTTGCACTCGCACACGTTAAGGCCAAACACCTGATTATACATGGCCAACGCTGAAACTTTGAGGAACAGACGTTCCAATTACTGGTTCTAATTACGCAACGTTCCTCTAATACGTCGACCAAGTTCAAAACTGTGCGGTGATTAGTGATAAAGAGTCGCGCGTCTCTGCAAGTGAAAAACTTTCGCTTTGCTGAGACGAAGATATTCTATCAGAGCAAACGGGAATGCGCTTAATGACGCCTATTATAATACGATAATTAAAAGCGACCGCACGCGGAGGAAGAAGGACACAGAAGATTACTCTCGTTTATGTTCTAACCGTTATGTTCGGTGTCAAGGAAGTTGTCCAGATACTTTTATTAGAATATATATAATTATTTTAATAATCATTATTCTAATAATCACATTCCCACTTTTTCTTTCCCTTCCCGCCACCTAATTTCTCAATTAATTACATTTCTGATTAATTATCGTTTAATTACTTTATTAGCACAATGACCACCCGTGAATCGAGGTATAAATAATTAATTAGACTGGGATATATCGCGAAAAACAATTAATTAATGACCAAACTTTCGCGTTAGTCCGCTGTTGCGAGTTCACGGCACGCTCGTTCGACGCTGATCTCGCAAACTCGTATACTCCGTGCGAAATATATATATATATACAATCTCCTCGGGTTAGATTTTTCTTCATTTAAGCCGAAACAATGACGGACTACGCAGATTTCTCGCAACGTTGCTGATAAGAGCCAGAAATTTACAGCAGCGTTGTAATACGCGTTGGTAAGCATTTCTGTGTAATGCTTTTCGGTCACAGAACTGATATTCCTCTGTATCATGTTTAATACTTTATACCGCTAAACGCCTACAGCACGTATTCTGCATGCATACTAATTAAGATATAACGGACCACCCAGTAAATCGCGGACTATACTATATTCTCGAGCAAAATAGTTTCCTTGAACTATATTATTAAATCACTCGTTAGTACTATAGAGATATTCATCTTTTAGGGCCAATTCTTCTTCAATTAAAAAAGATTCTATATCGATCTTTAGCGAAAACTTTATTATAATTAACTTGTTTAAAGAGTAATGCTCTTCCAAACCTTCGATGAATAATGCATGACAGCACATAAAGTGTATTGGAATGGTAATAAGTTCCAAACTCGATCTAAGCACGTGCGCAATAGATGTTTAAAAGTTGACGGCCGTGACGTTATTTTTTGCAATCTCTCCAGCGTTTTTTGGCAAAATGCCTCTTATATTCCGTATAGCCAATAGTATTTCGTATAGTTACATTAACGTAACAACATTGATGATGGCGTTGCCAAGATTATATGAAAAGTTTAAACTTTTGTTCATTTAAGTTATTAAAGTAAATGAGATAAGCATTTTGCAAACTTGCTTCTTTTGGCAAACAGGCAAAAAGAAGAAATAGGCAACCCTTTGTTGAACGAAAAAATTTGATCTCGTATTTATGAATGCATATACAATACATGCATATTGTTAATAAACACAGTTAATTTAATAAAAAAATATTTCAAACTATTACTATTTTTATTATCTTATTTAATCCGAAAAATAAAATACAATTTTTCTATTGTAGATATTTAAATATATATATATAGTTCTTTGTAATATTTTTTAATAATAAATCGAATATAATAAATAATTAAATGATATGTTTTCTTTTTATTCAAAGAATAATGTAATAAACTTCCTCCAAAAAAATTTTATTCTACAAAATAAATTTTAATGACAAATTATCATATTATCCTTAAATTGTTCGCGTTAAACAAAAATTGCAAATCGAGAGGATTAAATTTTATTCATATTTAAATAATTTAATATGTAATAATAATTTCTTGATTAATAAAAAAAAATAGTGTCAAAATATAGCGAAATTTTTCTCATATATATGACTGTAAATTTGCAAGAAAAGTAATCTTTTAATGACAGATTCATTGATTAATGTGTACTTTTTGTGTTAATAAATATGCAGAAGCATTAATAAAATTTTCAAATTCTAGAACTGATGAACTGAAAATACTTAATTAATTTTTTGCGAATAAAAATTTTACAAGTATAAATAGCTAATAAAAATCATGCTTTTGAATCAAATTTTGTTGAAAAATATTTAATTTAAAACTAAATATTTAATGTAAACTAAAAAAAATATTTAATGTTAAAAATTAATATAATCGATATAAATTCGTAAAAGTATCTGTTGATAAAATCTATATTCTGTTGGGTTGGTTATATATCATATATGGATATGTATGTATACATATATATATATATATATATAAAATACATATCCAGCAATAACCAAATACAATTACGTGTTACATAATATATGTACATTTATATGTACATATATTTTATATAGCAATTATATCTATGTTTGCTAAGTATATATATTCAAAACATGTATTTTATATCCTTTTCATAAAATTTATAAAGTTTTTATAAAACTCATCAAGTTAAAATTCAAATAAGAAGAAAATCAAATTTATATATTTTGATATATTTTATTAACGTAATAAAAAATGCAATTATTAGAATAATTTATAGCGATTTAGCCATTCAATTTTTAATATTCAAACTGTGCGATCGATAATAACTATTTTCCTGTTTTTTAGACGTTCGCGGACTAAGCAATGTGTCGATCGACATTCCATTGGCAGTGGCAGCTGGTACTACAGTCAACATGTCCTGCAAATACGATCTACAATCGGATACTCTTTACACTGTCAAATGGTACAAGCAGGGCGCGGAATTTTTTCGATATGTCCCTAAGGAAATGCCACCGATTGGAGTATTTGGGGAACTTGGAGCAAGAGTCGTGGTACGTAATACATTAAGATGAAACGTTACAATCTTGAAAAATAGATCTGGACATATAGCTCTGGACATGCAATTTTCTAATGTACTGTTTCATTATAAGAACGAAAATTTGTCAATTTAAAATAGACAAGTTATATTTAATCGATGATATGCCAATCAACATAGATTTCAAAAATTTTTTAAATTTCTAATTGTGTTAAAAAGTTTCTATTATAGTATTAAATTATTATGGTACTATATATTTACACTATGATAATAATTATATAATCATGTAAAATACGTTTGAAATTTCTAAATATATGTAGAATTAATTCTATTTATTCCAATTTATGACACCATAAAATTAAAAAATACAGGATATTGTCATTTGTAACTATCTCTAATTGGAATTGTTAGAACTATACGTTTATACATCATGCAATCTAGCTTATGTTCTGCGCATGTTATGACGTGAATGCTATTTCATTTCACCGATATTGAGGGGATTGTCGCTTTACCATAAAGCATACCGAAATAACATTTTTAAGTTAGAAATATGAAGATAACAGAAATTATCGTAAACATTACGTAAATTATATTTCTTGTAATAAAAAGCACCTGTGATAATAGAACATAAAATTTAAAGATATTAGAACATAAAATTTTTGATTAATTGAAAATTAATTTTTTTTTAGAAAGTATAAAAGTATAAAAGTAGTACATATCCTTTTTTTGTTTTACATAATAAACGATCAAAAATGTATAACCGAGATAAGATTTTGTGTGCAATCGAATATTTTACTTCTTAAGCTCTTTTATAGTTCCATATTTATTAAAAGTCGTGTTCTACTTTTTGGTGAACCAAATTTTATATGGATCCATATTTGACGAAGAAATATCAAAGTTGAAATAAAAGATGGAAATGAAAAAATCGATTTAAATATCTTTAATTTTAAACTTTTATTAAAATTGTAAAAATTTCTTAATATATATATTTCTAATTGTATATATTTTTGAAAATTATATATTTTATTTTTCATTAATTTTTATTACTTACAATTAGATTTAATTATTCTTTTCTAAATTAAACGAAATAAAGAAATACTTATGGAAACCTTATATATTTTTTCAATCGTTTATGATATATATAATACAAAAAAAGATATTCATATCTTTATTCTGAATTCCATATTTTTATTCTGAAAAAAAATCGATTCTCGAATGATAAAAAAATTTTACGTTTTTAAATTTTATAATCCAATATCACGGATGCTTTTTATGCAATAAACATAATTTACGTAATATTTACAATATTATTCAATTATCATCACGTTTCTAACTTAAAAATGTTATTTCGGCATGCTTTATGGTAAAACGACAATCCCTTCGCAGTCAATATCGGTGGAATGAAATAGCATTCACGTCATAACATGCGCAAAACGCAAGGCAGATTGCGTGCTGTGTATGCAAACGAATATTTGCAGCGCATATCTGGCATGCATGAAGAAGAAATAACTCTTGCATGGCAAAAACTTAAAGATTTGCAAAAATATATAAACCCATTAAATTAAAATGATATAATCGCCATATAATCATCAAAATTCTACTTCTTGTTATATATTTTTTATTTTTTATTTGCATAAACGTGTTCTACAGAATAAAATATAAATATTACATCTAATTTTTGTTTAGTAAAACATTATCAACTCATAACTAATTTTTTAATAAAAATTATATTATTTACACAAACTCTTTCTTAGAATATCATCATCTGATATCTCTTTATGTAATAAAATAAGCATAAATAATTTCTTTCTAGTAAGATATTAGCGAACGGCAGAACCATTTGTTTTTCTATAACATGCTGTAATGTTTCGTCATTCAATATTTGAAATCCGTTAGTATGATGATTCCAGAAGAAAAACGTACAGCGGCCACGTACCTTTCCTATCGCAACACACAAATGTAAAATACATTTACTTTCTGTAGATGTTACGATCAAATATACTTCCGAAACTCACATTTTATGTTCTGAAAACTGTATTTTGAACCATAAAAACATTCGTATGTGATATTTTGCAACGTACATTCTATTGTAGAGATTGACAAAATAAACAAAAAGGATGTAATATATGAGAGGACATTGCGTCAAAGAAGTATGTCGTACAATTAAAAGCTAAATTATCATATACTCGAAATACAATCCGAATGAGGTCATTATCCATTCGGCGATAGGAATTATAACAGTCATCTATTTTTAACGCTTAATAAATACGCAATAGAGTACATATATACCACGCAAAATACGACCGTTAAACTGCTAATGAAGAGACACTACGGCATAAACATATAATAGAACCACGGGTGATATCTATTTAACAGATAACATCATACATTATGAGATAAAGAATTTTCATCTACGATAACGTCTTCAACTCTGCAACTTTATCATGTCTATCGTGGTCTGCCGTTACATACTTAAGATTCCTTTCTTTATCTAGTCGTTCTAATCGAGCTGTTCAAATCATTCGCATTATTAAACTGTTCGTTTTTCTACTTGATGAGAAGAATTATTATGTACAACCAAGAACAATAATTCACATTTTGCCTAGCAGGCATAAAACGTCAATCAACCATTATCATCGCATCCTGAGCGTGACAATATCAATACACGGATGCATGTAAAAGTAAAACCAACACGATAAATCAAACATGAATTTCAATATCATTTTTAAAACAGCTCGATTTACGTGCTCTGACTTTAAACTGTCTTTATCTTATTAATGTAATTGTAAAAGATATTATTTTTCGCTAACCCATCGTCGTTTGTTACAAAGTTTGGTAATCTACTTTTCATTGCCGCACGTTTGTATAAAAAAAAGAACCTACGTGGGTCATTCTTTATCATTTTAAATAAAATCCAATAATTTCTTTCTTTTTCAATGAGAATCTTGCATGAATTCATTATTGGAATTTTTTCCTAATGAGATCCTTTAGCGAAAGAAACTTTTTTTTACGTGTTTTTCATACTTGTTAATAGGATGTTTCAAAGACAACTTTTTGAATTTATCACGACAGGGAGAGAGAAGGCAGCGTGTATGCGCGCAGTCGATTACGTGCCATCGCATCGACAGAAAAAGAAATGAGAACAGAAGAGTACAATCCAAGCTATGCGATATTTCGAACTACGCACGTATATATGTGTGTACGTGTCGTGAGAGAAGAAAGAATAGTCGCTGCAAAATCAACGTTTTCGAAGCGAGTTAAAAAAGTTGTTAAAAGCTTTATCCAAGCTGAACTAAAGCACAGCTAACAGCTTTATTCAATCCGAATTAAAGCACAAGTTAAGCATTTACTCAGTCCCTCAAAGTATTTCCGTTTTAAATTGTGTAATACTTTTTTCTGTGTTTCAAATGTTCTAACAAAATATTGGACAGAAATGAAAACGCAGTGTTCTCATTTATATTTCAAGTTATATAAACATGAATATTAAAGTTTAATCATAAAATATCTTTTTAATTAATTCGATTATATTTCGATGAAAGAAATATATTCTTAAAATAAACTATGCAATTAAATGACATGATTGATAATTTTTTTAACACGGTATTTATAAAGACGAAATTTTAATTAATCGGAAAATCATGAGATATGTTATTGATTATGTACATCTCAACGCAGAAAGATAACAAGAAGAAATGAAATATTTGATCTATTACACGAAAATCAAATGATGTGAGACGCATGGAAAGAACGATTTTGCTGAGGTATCTAAAAATTTAACTAGATAAATCTGAAAATAATTTTGTTGAACCATCAAAATAATTTTGAAATCCTGTAATTATTTCCATGGTCCAATAAAATTATTTTCGGATCAATCTAGTTAAATTTTTAAATATTTTAGCAAAATCATTCATTCCGTGCGTGCACAATTGTAATGAATAAATCGTTGGAAAATCAATATTTTGAGGACCGAATTGAAATAGAGAAAGAATAGCTAAATCCTTTATGCAGCCACATGATTTCCACGCGAAGCAAGTTCGACCAACGAGTTGCTCTTGTACACGCAATGGTTTTCCAATTAGATTTTACCGGCGGAAAATACGGACGGTGTACACCCCAGCCAATAAATCGTGATACACTCCTAGCGGAGAAGAGAAATAGAGAGAAATAGAGAATTGCCGCCGAACAACCGCGGATGCAATGAGGTTGCCGAAGCGACGATAGTGCAATACATGTGTAGAGGTAGGCACAGAGAATATCAGCCGTTACCGCTCCGTATTTCGCGAATGGGTAACAATATTAATATTGCCAAGCGAGTTCGATGAATTTATGCGTGAACATGTTACGCCGGGCATTGTTGAATCGTTATATTATGTAGCCCAGGCATATAGAGTAAAACGATACACACCGCTGTTGTTGCCTTTACATGCATGAGCGTGCCAGTTGATCTCTGATCCGGATACGCGGGGTTGCTATTCTAATTTTCGAAATAAACGCGATGGATGCATAAAGATCCATTATTTCATTAAGTGATAACCATCACGTATCCCCGAGCAATCTCTGAATAAATATAATGGGCAAAATATTTATTTAAATAATAACTCTTCTCTAATAGAGATAAAAAATTAATAGAATAGTAATCTGTACTAAATAAATCGACCAAAAATATATCGTTCACAATTGCTATGGTAAATAACAAATTTTTGAAAAAATCTTATCTATGCAGAACAAACTGTTTTATCATGGAATAATTATTTAATTTTTTATAATAATTTTGTACATAAGTTGTCTTGCCTTTTATTTTTGCATAAGTTTTACAATTTCTAATCTTTTAAAATCTAAATACTAAGTCTTTTTTAAATAAATTTTTTTCAAGTAATTGTTGAATTGTTGAATGCAATTATTTAGCTCCTTTTATTTAAGTTTGAATGAAAATATCTATTTATAATAACCGACTCGCTTTAATAAAGACGATTCGCTTTTATTTTTAATAATCGCTTTTATTTTTAATAATTTAAT